TAACTCCATACAAATGTAATACACATTGCCTTCTCTCCATTGACTCATATATTGGACACAGTACTCTGACCTAACTTTTATCAATTTTTACATTTCGTGTCATATATTCAAAGAGATCTTAGAATGTGTTCAATATATACATAATTTAAAACCTCCGGTCATTCATAGAGACCTTCACTCGGGAAATATATTATTGGCCAGAAATGTAAAGAATGGTAGGTTTTTCAAAGTGGCTGACTTTGGGTCGCATACTATTCGCAAATCTACATCAAACGTAAGTAACCCGACTCATGAGGCACCGGAAGTACGTGGGGGTGAGTCAAATGGTCCCAAGAGTGATGTTTACAGTCTGGCCATAACTACAGAAGAGATATTTAGCTTTAATGTGGACGACTTATTGGAGTAAGTCATACAGTATGTGATTGTATTGATATTAATCAAAATTATATCTAGATTCAGAAGTAGTCACAGAAGTATTCATCGAATAATGAAGTGTTAAACAAATGTATCGATCATTTAAAATAAGTATTAAAAGATATGTTAAACTACGAAAACCCGACTGTCAGACCCTCGTGTAGTCAAGTATTATCGGAATATAAATTATGGTCTATTCATAGGAATTGTCTAGAAAATGATCCCACATTTCATTTCACACTAAATCTCATTCAACAAAATGATTACAAGTTTTTTGCGGAATATTTTAATGCGAAATATGAAGGAATTGAAACAAAGTTAGAGAATATTCACTTTAATTCTTAAATGAGTTAAATTATAATTATTGAATATTTGTTATTATTTTGAAATCAATTGATTTAATTATTAATAAATAGAATTTTTATATTTACCTCATTTGAAATATATGTGCATGATACTTTTTAACCAAATTAGGATTTAATATAACAATATTACGTAAATGTAATTATATTTACTTTGTCAGTGTGCTAGATGACTACCTTTTACTATTCAAGTGAAACATTTTTTGTATCATTTCATTGAGTCATTTCCGTTTACAATACAAACTCGTGAACATAAAAGTGATTACACTCCTAATTATTGAACATTATATTGCATTATCGCATTAATCACAATTTAGTACCGGAGAAATAGTCTTTCAGATGATAATTTAAAAACCTGCTCTAAATATAATCAAGGACATTCACTAAGAGATTTACAATAAACTTATGCTAATATGAATTTGGAAAATATATTAGAATAATCATATTGTAAAATAAAAATTAATTTCCAAAAATAGATAAATTAGTAATGTTTAAAAAGTCTTTCTTTATTATATTAATGTTTTTCAAAAGTTTAATGTGAATATGTTTAAGAATAAGCTTGTTTAATTAATAAACTTTTTATTTTACTACATGATTAATTTAATGGATTTCACATATTAATAATTTTATAAGTTTATTGCTAATCTCTTAGTGAATGACCTGGATTATAATTTGTCTCGTTTTCAAATTATCATCTGAAAGACTATTTCTGTGGTACTAAATCATAATCTTGGCAAGTTTTAAAACGCAAGTAATAATAGGTGTCAATGTTTTATAAATAAATATAAAGTTTAATTAACAAGTAAGTATTATTTAAAAAATACAAGCATCACACAAAAAAGTTGACAAAAATATCTAAATGTATGAGATAAGAGATTAGATTAGGTTTTGTATTGAACTCCAATATTCCTAAAGTTTGTATTCATAATGAAATGATCTCTAAAATCACTCATAACTCGTTCAACCCTTTAATGCCTCCACATGTCTACCATTCCTACGACATAATCATTGCATGAAAATGAA